CTAAGGCACTTGACTGCTAAACAGAAGGCTGGCGGTTCAAACCCACCAGCCACTCCTCGGAAGGAAGATGGGGCAATCTACTTCCATAGTGATACTGCCTGGGAAACCCAAGGAGGGGTCGCTATGAGTCAGGCCCAACTGGATGGCACATAACAACAACAACAACAACATAAGAATTCCCAGGTGTATAGTAGAGCTGACAAGGGACAAGGTTGTAGTCACTTCTTGGCCACAACCAGCTATCCAGAGGGAGCGAGTAGTTGAACCAATGGGCTCAGGACCATAGTCACAGGGGGACATCAAACTCAAATGGCATAACATACTACACAAAACATTGTTCCACCTCATACTTTGGGGAGTAGCGACTGGGATCTTAAAAGCTTGCAATCTGCCTTCTAGATGCAACAATGGGTCTCTCCTGGTCCAGAGCAAAGAAGAATGAAGAAAACCAAAGCTGCATGGAAACAATTAGTCCCAGCGACTGGTACACCATGCGATCTGCAGCCTATACAACTATGAGACCAGAAGAACTAGTTGGTGCCTGGCTACCACTGTCAACCACTTGAAGGGGGATCTATATAGGAGATCCTGGATAGAGAGGAAGAACAATGTGGAACAACAAAAAAAAAGGGACCAGGTTTTCTGGGCTGATAGAGCCTGGTGGAACCACTGAGACTATGGTCCCTAGCTGCCCTTCAGGTCTGGAATTCAACCCACACTGGTGGCTTCCAGCCAAACAAAAGACAGGCATAGGAGTTGAATATTTACCTGAGGTAGATACACTCCTTGGAGAGAACAAACATGGGAGAAAGAAAGGCTGTTTATGCACAGGGAAACAGCTCAGGGGGCAGGAGTGCATGGAGAGATAGACACAGGGAAGAGGTAACTATGGGGAGGAAGTGGGAGGAGAGCTGCTGCATTGTGGGAAATTGTAGTCAATGTCATGAGAAAGTGTATGTGAACTGCTGTATGGAAAGTGAGTTTGCGTAAACTTTCACCCAAATCACAAAAAAAAGAAAGATGGAAAGAATACACAGAGTCATTGTACCAAAAAGAACTGGTCAATGTTTATCCATTTCAGGAGGTGGCATATGATTAAGAACCAATGGTACTAAAGGAAGAAGCTGAAGCTGCACTGAAGGAACTGGTGAAGAACAAGGCTCCAGGAATTGATGGAATATCAATTGAGATGTTTCAACAAATGTATGCCATGCTGGAGGCACTCACTTGTCCATGCCAAGAAATTTCGAAGACAGCTACCTGGCCAGCTGACTGGAAGAGAACCATATTTGTACCCGTTCCAAAGAAAGGTGATACCAGAGAATGTGGAAATTATCAAACGATATTATTAGTATCACATGCAAGTAAAATCTTGCTGAAGATAATTCAAAAACGGTTGCAGCAGTATACTGACATAAAACTTCCAGAACTGCAAGCTGGATTCAGAAGAGGATGTGGAACAAAGGATATATTGCTGATGTCAGATGGATCTTGGCTGAGAGCAAAGAATATCAGAAAGATGTTTGTGTTTTATTTACTGTGCAAAAGCATTTGACTGTGTGGATCATAACAAATTATGAGAAGAATGGGAATTCCAGAACACTTGAATGTGCTTATCAGGAAACTGTACGTAGATCAGGAGGTTGTCATTTGAAAAGAACAAGGGGACACTGCATGGTTTAAAATCAGGAAGGGAGTGTGTCAGGATTGTATCATTTTATCATACGTATCCAATCTGTATCCTGAACAAATAATCTGAGAAGTTGGACCATATGAAGAATGTGGCATCAGGACTGGAGAAAGACTCATTAACAACCTGTGAGATGCAGACCACATAAATTTGCTTGCTGAAAGTGAAGATGATTTGAAGCAGTTACTGATGAAGATTAAAGACATCAGTCTGCCATATGAATTACAGCTCAACATAAAGAAAATGAAAATCCTCACAACTGGACCAATAAGCAGCATCATGATAAGTGGAGAAAAGATTGAATTTGTTAAAGATTTCATATTACTTAGTTCCAAAATCAATGCCGATAGAAGCAGCAGTCAAGACATCAGATGACATATTGCACTGGTCAAATCTGCTGCAAAAGAGCTCTTTAAAGTGCTGAAGAGCAAAGGTGTCTCGCTGAAAACTAAGGTGCGCCTAACCCAAGCCATGGTATTTTCACTTACCTCATGTGTATGTGAGAACTGGACAGTGAGTAAGGAAGATTGAAGAAGAGTTGATGCTTTTGAGTTGTGGTATGGGAGAAGGATACTGAAAGTACCATGAACTGCCAGAAGAACAAATAAATCTGTCCTGGAAGAAGTACAGCCAGAATGCTCCTTGGAAGCGAGAATGGCCACAATTTGTCTCACCTACTTTGGTCATGTTGTCAGAAGGGACCATTCCCTGGAGAAGGATATCACACTTGGTAAAGTGGAGGGTCAATGAAAAAGAGGAAGGCCCCTAACAAGATGGATTGACACAGTGGCTGCAATGATGGGCTCAGGTATAGCAAGGATTGTGAGGCTGGCACAGGACCAGGCAGTGTTTTGTTCTGTTGTACATAGGATTGCTGAGTCGGAGCCAACAATGGCATGTAACAACAACAACAAACCCCCATAATCCTGAGTATTGTCTGTGAGTTCTGTGTGGTCATTTCAACGAATTATTTAACCAAGCAAAGAGGTAGTGAGTGCTGTGGGAGAGATGGCTGGTGTTGGAATTAGTAAAAAGGTTGGAGGGTGGCGGCATCCCTGACTTCCACCTCATAGGAATCAGCTTTGAGTTGATACTGTTGACCCCTTTTCTCTCTCCCTTGTGAAGTTAGAGGAGGTCACAGGATGTGGGCCCCATGTCCTAACTGCCGCCGGTCTGTGTGATGGAATTGTCTGGGTGTTGACTCCTGGACTTGCTTCTCTATGTAGTCAAGCAAGGTGAATCCAGGTGATTCTTGGTGCTCATGCTCTAAAACTGTACCAGATGATCTGAAAACAAGGTTCTTAGAACGCTGTTATTTCTTGATTTATTCTTTAATGTTTTGTTTTCTAAGATCAAACCAAACTCCAAATTCACTGCCACTGACTTGGATCTGACTCATAATGACCTCTCCTTGGGTTTCCAAGGTGGCATCACTAAAGAAGTAGATTGCCCGATCTTCTTTCTGAGGAGTGGCTGGTGGGTTTGAACCGCCAGCCTAAAAAATCAAGTATTAAATACCTATGAGAAAAGTCAGTTACTGTTGGGTAAGATAATTTAAAACTGAGATCTGCATACCCCAAGTGGCATGTGGCGGATATGGAAGAGGACGTGAACCACAAGGTCCCACATGAGGTAGCTCCCTGGGACACAGATTTTATTTACTAGGGTTTTTTTTTGGAAGGGGGAGGGGAAAAATTATATTTTGATATTTAAACAAACATGGATTACATATTATTGAACAGATTGTAAAATTCTATTCATACAAAACTTGAAATGAATTCTGAGCTTTGGGTTACCTGTCCTCCTCCACCTTTCCCTGATCTCCTGTCTCAGTATCTCCAAAGGCTCCGAGTCGAAAAAGTAGGAAAAACAGTGCTCAGGTACCAGGACATTTCAAGGCCAAGGAAACATTTGCACCGTTAACTGAGACTGGCAAAGAAGGGAAAGCAGCACATGTATTTGATGTGTGTAACTTACATGCAGCACTGATAGAGAGGGGCAAGAATGCTTCTCTCATCCAGCGAGGGGTTCCCAAAGCTGAAAATTAAATTAAAACTCAGTGAATTACTTGCAAGCACCAGTTCCCTTCTTAGTATCAAAGCAATCTAATTCCCTCCTTAGCATCACATTCTGTAAGAAGCCCAAATGTGATCCTAGATAATTTCATGCTCTAGCAGCTCAAATCACTTAAATTAAAAATAAACAGGGCATGACCAATCAGACACAGGGTCCCCAGTAGCCTGTGCTGAAGTACTGAACAGCAAATATACTGATTTACAAGGACCCTGTTTCCTACTAAGATTATCCAAGGTGCTGGAGCATAACTATGGTCACAAAGTGTGGAATTAACAGACTGAAAGAACTTGAAGACCCCAAACCTGAAATGTTTTAAGGCGTAGGGAGAGAAACAAAAGCTTTTCATATCAAATTCCACAAGTGAGCATATGGTCATTAGTTGTAAAAAGAAGCTATACTTGTTATACCCCAAAATTACCAACCAGAAACGATTTGATTTTCCTATTCCATATAAGTAACTACATGAGCAGATTCACACTGGTTTCAAAGTGCTCATGCCCACTGCTATCAAGTTGATTCTGACTCAGAGTGACTCTACAGGACAGAGCAGAGTTGCCCCATAGGGTTTCAAAGGCTGTAAATCTTCATGAAAGCAGAATACCACATCTCTCTCCTGCAGAATGCCTGGTGGGTTTGAATCATTGACCTTTTGATTAGCTGCCAAGCACTTTAACCACTGTACCACCAGGGCTCCTTCAAACTGCTCAGAGAGGCTGAGAAAACACTGATTCAAGCAGACGTAAAACTAATGTAAGTAGTAACTCAGAAAAGAAGACCTGAATCTGGGAAAACTGTCCATCTTCTACTATTTTCCAGAACATTCACCTTAATAACTAGAAGGTTCTGGTGACCCTTAGTGCAGCACAGGCGCTCAGACAATCAATGGCAAAGGCAACCATTCCAATGTGCATATGGTATGTGCATATAGGAAAAAAAAAATCACTTCTACAAGGATAAAGATTTTCCAGAATACGTGTAGCACTGGCCACCACCTGCTTTGCTGTGAAATGGAACAAGGAAGTGGCAATGTTTGCTGGCCTCTTTCTGTGGCTGCCACCATTTTGCATGGAGCACAGGGCCCCCGGTGTTCTACATAAGTTGCTGGCATCAATAACAAATGCTATCTAAGCAGTCTTTCCCAAGGATCCAAGTTTCAGCATATTCCCAGCACCAATGTTAACAGTGGTGACTGGGTACCTGGAAAATTCTGGCCTTCAGGGAAGAATTTTATTTAGCTAACATTTATAAGTGTAACTTAAAGTGCAATACAGAACCTGGCACCATTAAGAATGCAGAAAATAAACTGGAAATATGCTCCAAATAGCTCAATAAAAATAAGGTGAGAAAAATGTGTGTGTGGGGGGGAAGTAATAAAGACATTCCATTTTACTCAAAACAGAAAACTTGTCTTTATATACAATCCCTAGGGTCTTTTCACATCATAATAAATAGTCTGGGCCTTAAATTACTGTAACAATTGCAAAACATCCTATCAACAAGTTAATTTTTAAAAATGTCATGAACCTTTGGATAAAATAAATTTAACAGTAACTAAGTTTCATGTTCTATTAAACCTGTATTTCTTAAGATTCTAAATGTCCTAGTCAAGAAAGAGTGATACAAGTAGTGATAAGCTAAAGACCCTGGTTTTCAGGTATCTGTGATGAGTCTTGTAGAGGGAATACAAACCTTGAGCAAGATGGAAGAGTTAACAACAGTGAAGACCCAAGCAGAAAAGGGAAGGGTGCCCCCTGTCAGTGGTACTTTGGATGTCTTCAAGTCTCCTCCTTGTACATAGAGCAACTCCCAACTGACAAGAATGGTTCTGCCAGGCCTACCTTTTGGCATTATCGAGGAGGATGAGCATACTGGCGCCTTCATCATCTTGAAAGCTCTCGTAATGATGGCGGTCAGCATTGCCAATCAAGTAGTCAAAGACAGCTGTGTCAATGATGTCCAGGAGGCGTGGGCCCGAGTCATAGGGGGATGTTTTCTTCACAGCATCACAGTAGCTCTCATCATACTCCCACCTGGAGGCAAGAAGCATCACTAGAGTTATTTACTGAGTGCAAACACTGTTTCTGGCACTGTTTAAACAGAGATGTCGGAGTCCCTGCCTAGCAGGTTGACCTCTGACACCCATAGTCTTTTGAGTGTTGGTCACAACCCCTCACTCCCATACTGGCTGGCACCTGGCCAGGAGCAGGGGACAATTAAGCAGGGGCCCACAGGGGCATTACCTGGCCAATTTGCCTTCTCGGTAAGTCCTGCCCCACGGGTGTCTGTGTTTCTGCAGAGGCCACACATCTGGGAGCCAAAGCGTGACAGATCCCTCCATTGTGTCTCCATCGGCACAAGCTGGCTCTGTTTCTCGGCAGTAATAACACTTCCCATAGAAGCAAGTATTATTTCCTAAAGGAGAGGAAGGAGCCAAACACACATAAGGAAAAAAGGAAGATTCCAAATCCCCAAACAACACAGACAACAGCATCTGAATAAACACGTACTATGAGAGCAAAGATCTTGAAGTTACTACATTGAAAACATTTATTTACTTTTTGAATAGGTAATAAGAGCACATGGTATCAAAAATTCAAAAGGTACAAAAAGACATGTACTAAAAAGTAATTCTTCCTCCTCCTCTGTGTCCCTTCTATCCTCTCTCTCTCAGGAGTCAACCATCGTCACCAGTATCTTTCTAAACTCACTTTAACTAAAAGAAGGTAATGGCCTCTTCTCTTTGTTAGGGCTGAGATTTTGGCCAGAGTGCCCAGGGAAGAGAGGGGGTATGTCTGGGGCCAAACTGTGGCCAGAAATTTGGTTCTCTACAGAGGAGTTAGAACAAATAAGTAAACAGAATGAGGATAATGGGAGCCAGATTTCTTACAGATGGAGAAGGGAGTACACATACAGACAGGGAGAAGGCCAAAATAATTTTTTGTGATTAGAATTGGAGACAATGGTATGAATTGATGGTTTTAACACCATACACATAGATACAGAAAAAGATACAGATTGTGTACATGTGTATCCCTGCATACACACATATATGTATATACAAACATACATTTCCCACCTCTGCCCATCAAGAGAAACTAAAGATAATGACACTCCAGTAATAATGAGCACACAGAGCACCAACATATTAGTTTCTAAGTACCACTTTAGTATATATGTAAAGGAACCAGAGCTTCTTGCAGAACAGCTGACTCTAGGGCTGGGGCAGGCAAAGCACAAGATGAGTCTGAAACATGTTGTTATGCCAATGAGTAATGAAGTGCTCAGAGAATGATGGGGACATTCAAAAATGGCACAGGAGCCAGGCTGATGGGGTTCCCACTTGCCAGATCTGTGACAGTTTGAGCATCAAAATAAGTAATGACAGTAATAAACTATTCTGGGCAAAGTAAGAGTCTATAAGTTCATAGGTATATAAGTCAGTAAATAAATGAATTTTCAAATGAATTAGAAAATAATCATTTGGCAACTATTATAGTTTGTTGATACGTAGGCTTTCAAAATGGCAGTCTTGAAATCCCTATGGAGGGCAGTTTTACTGTCTACACATGTGGTTCCCATGACCTGAAGCTGACTCAGTGGCAATTAACAATAACAACACATCCCACATGTGTTTATAATTATAAAAATATAAACTTACAAATTTAACTTGACCTCATTAGAAATATCAGCAGACTTTTTAGAGTAACTAGATATGCTAATTTTAAAGATCATGTTGTTGTTGTTGTGTGCGTCGAGTCACCCCAACTCATAGCGACCCCTCCTTGGGTTTCCAAGGCAGGATCACTATGGAACTAGACTGTCCATCCTTCCTTCTGAGTAGTGGCTAGTGGGTTTGAACCACCAGCCTTCTGGTTAGCACTATGCTATCAGAGCTCCCTTAAAGATCATAAGGAATAACAAATGAGAACTGCTAGAAAACTTCTAAAATAAGAGCAAAGAGAGGTACTAGCCCTATCAGGTATCAAAACATATTATAAGTTCTCAATAATTAAGACGTTATAGACCAGCTCATGAAATGGAACAGAATAGAAAGTTCAAAAAAATTATTACAGTGGAAAAAAGATAGACTCTCCAGTAAATGCAACTGGGACAACTGTCAGTCATCTGAGAAAAAAATAACAGTTGGGACCAGTACCTCATTTCATAGCTTAAATCCCAACTACATAAAAAATTTAAACGTAAAAAGTAAAACTTAACAGTACTAAAAGAAAATATGACAGAACTCTTCCATAACCTTGAAATGATTAAGGCAAATTATGATATAAAATCAGAAAATTTATCAGAAAAGACAGATTGGTTACATGTGAAAATAAACAAAAAACTTCCACAAGGCAACAAATACCATGAGCAAAGTAAAAACCAAACAAATGGGAAAACTTATTTGTAACTCACATTATAAAGGGCTACCCTTCCTACTATGTACAAGCTCACATAAGTCAGTAAGACCAATGGCACAGCAGAAAACAAGCAAAGGATATGAAAAGACAGCTAACAGAAAATACAAATGGCTCTTTAATAAAAAAGATGCTAAGCATCATATAGGAGCTCTGGTCAGATGAAGTCCTTGACCGGCACAAACAGTTAAGTGCTTAACTATTAGCTGAAAGGCTGGCAGTTTGAACCCGCTCAGAGGCACCTTGAAGACAGGCCTGGTGATCTGCTTCTGAAAGGCCACAGCCTTGAAAACCCTCCGGAGCACAGTTCTATTCTAAAATACATGAGTTTGCCACAAGTCAGAACTGACTCAACAGCAACTAACAACAACAAATATCAGGCAAAAACCAAAAGTTTGATAACACATTGTTAGTGAGGCACAGGCAAACAGGCACCCTCATACATTAATATTACGAATTAAATTGGTTAAACATACATGTAAGGCAATTTGGCAATACCTATCACGCTTGGTAACGGAGACAATCAGCAGAAAAAAATGAAGACCCTCAATGAGATGGACTGACAGTGGCTGCAACCAGCAGCGACTGAAAGGATGGAGCAGGACCAGGCAGTGCTTCATTCTGTTGTATACAGTGTTGCTATGGAACCTACTCAATAGTAACTAATAACATGAAAATTAAAAACGTTATGTGCCCTTTAGCCCAGCAATTCCTTTGATTTATTTGGGTATACTTGTTCACGGGAGAAGTAACATGTACGTATGTTAGGCAATGTTGTTTATAATATCAGAATGACCTATTTGTCCAATGGAGCGGGGATCAAACCCATTACCACTGAAGTCAATTAAGACTCACGGTGACACCATGTTTTACAGAGTAAAACTCAGCTCCACAGTGTTTTCTTGGCTGTGATCTTTATGGAAGCAGACTGCCAGGCCGTTCTTCCATGGGGCGGTGAAACGCCAATCTTTCGGATAGCAGCTGAGTGCAAACGGACTAGTTAAATTAATTATTGTACATCTGTACAACCGACATTTTATAATTGGTAAAACAAAAGAATAAAGAAGTTCTGTATATGTGATACAGGAGTATTTCCAAGGTATATTAAATAAAAAGAATACAATGTAGAAATAGGTACAGCGTGCCATATTTTGCTTAAAAAGTTAGAATTAAATTAGAATATACAATCCCGCATCATACAAAAATGACAAAGAAATTCATAATAGAGGTTACCACTTGGGAAGAAGAAGAAGGAACTGGAGATACATGAGAAGAAAACTTTTCACTGTGGTCCTTTCTATATTCTTAAAACTTTTTGAATTGTGTGACTATATCATAGATTCAAAAAATTAAAAAAGCAAACAAAGCAAAAAACAAAATGAAAAATACTACCTGGTGTAGAAAACCTGAGTTTGGTAAATAAGACCTTCATAACCAGAAGGAAATACGGTATACTGTTTAACAGCTGGGATTTAGCGTCCATTTCAGGTGTTAAAACGGAGACGTTAGCCTCCTGTACCTTTAGACCAGAAGAACTAAATGGTGCCTGATACCAATAATGACCACTCTGATTGGGATCACAAAAGGTCCTGGAGAGAATGGGAGAAAAATGTAGAACAAAACTCAAAAGCATGAAAAAGACCAGACTTACTGGTCTGATAGAGACTGGTGGAATCTCCAAGACTGTGGCCCCCAGATACCCTTCAAACCTAGAGCTAAATGCATCCCTGGGGATCATCATCTTGCAGCCAAACAACAGAAGGCCTATAAAGTGAACAGTAACACTTGTGAGGAATGTATTCCTCAAAGCAAACATATAAGACCAAAAGAGCAGCATTTGCCCCCAAACAAAGCTCAGAAGGCAGAAAGGGGCAGGAAAGAACACAAATGGAAATGAGGAACCCAGGAAGAGTGCTATTATGCTCAGGGAACTGCAACTAATGTTACAAAACAAAACTTGTATAAATTATTGAATGGAAAACTAATTTGTTCTGTAAACTCTGACCCAAACCACAATTTAAAAAAAAAAAAGCAGATGTTAGTCAAGATTGTATGACTTTGGACATGTAATTTCACATCTCTAAACAACTTCCGAGGAGCTCTGGTAGCATAGTGCCTAAGGCATTTGACTGCTAACCAGAAGGCTGGCGGTTCAAACCCACCAGCCACACCTTGGAAGGAAGGTTGGGCAATCTACTTCCATAGTGATACTGCCTCAGAAACCCGAGGAGGGGTCGCTATGGGTCAGATCCAACTTGATGGCAGTGTGTTTGTTTTTTTTTGTAAACAACTTCTGAGCTCTGGGGACACAGTGTATAAAACATCTGACTACTAACCAGAAGGCTGGTAGTTCAAACCCACCAGCTGCTCCATGGAAGGAACATGGGGCAATCTACTTCTGTAAAGATTTACCACCTTGGAAACCCAATGGCAGTTGCTATGAGTTGCAATCAACTCAATGGCAATGTTTTTTTGTTTTAAGCAACTTCTATATAAAGGATTTAGTACTGGTTCTTCCACTATTAGGTTGGTGAGAATAAATGAGATAACCCACAGTAATGTTCAGCACAGTGCCTGGCACAGTCAGAGACCTGACCAACCAATGCAGTTATTTACTATGAACAGTCTGGCCCAATCTACTTTTCCAGACTTCAATATCCTCATTTTATTGCCATGAGGCTCTAAACTTTTTATTATTTCCTAGACATGTCAAACTTTCAAAATAGGTTTTCCAATAACCTCAGTCTCCACATTCTCTCTAAGTGAACTACCAACTGTGATCATCAAAGCCACATCTCTATCTCAGACTTACCTGAGGTCCTAATGACTTGTCAACCTTACTCCTGATGTTCCTGTCAAGGAACCAAATATTCAGCCTTAAACTCCTATCTTCCTCTACTCCACCTCCTCCTAAGTTGGCTCTTTCCCACACATTTCTAGCATAGTTAACAGCCTATTTATCCACTGAGATAATCCAGTTCAGAAAGCTGGGAGTCACTCTTACTCTACTTTCTCTCAATTACCCCATGCAACCCAAATGTTCACCAAATTCTTTACAGTTAATTCTTAGTTCTGATTCTTACTGCATTATGAATTTACAAGAGCCCCCAAGTGCTATCCTATCTCCTGACTCTCCCTTTCCAATTTATCCTACACAATGCTGTCACAATTATTTTACTAAAATCCAAATCTGATTTTTTCACCAAAACTTCTTTCATGGCTTCTCTGTGCCTATGGAAAAAGTCTTGACTCCTAACTATGGTGTATAAGGCCCTTCAGTGGCAGTGTCCTGACCACTTACCTTACTCACTAGCCAACTCCACACATACCATTAACTTCAGCTAAAGTACACAGTCTCCTGAGCTTGCCCTGCTCTTCTCTCACTTCTCATCATTCTTGTCGAAGCTCTCTCTTCCACTTGGAACAGGGTTCTTAATTCAGGGGGCCCATAGACTGGATGGGAACAAAAGTTCACCTTTATTTTCACTAACCTGTATGTGAGATTTACCATTTCCTTCACTTATGGAGATGTTGTGATGTGCCATTAAGTCGGACCCGACTCATAGCGACCCCTCCTTGGGTTTCCGAGGCAGTATCACTATAGAAGTAGATTGCCCCATCTTCCTTCTGAGGAGTGGCTGGTGGGTTTGAACCGCCATACTTCTGGTTAGCAGTCAAATGCCTTAGCCACTATGCTACCAGAGCACCCCACTTATGGACATAGGGAGTAATAAATCATAATAACATTACCTATGACTTTACCATGGAGTCTTTGGGTGGAAAAATGGTTAAGCCCTTTTTGTGCCAAAAACTTGGTAGTTCAAACATACACACAGGTGCTTCAGAAGACAGGCCTGCCAATCTGCTTCCAAAAGCTTCAGGGAGTGCAGTTCTATTCCACAACACATGGGGTTGCTTTCAGTTAGACTCTGACTCCGAGGCAACTAACCAAGAACAACATGACTTTATCACCAAAAGAAATTAGATTTTTCATACCACATTAGTGTTGCTGTAGATACCTCAAAATATCAATTATGTTCATAATTAGATTACTGCTAGATTTGTTATTTAATGTGTTAAATAACAGCACATTACTGTATCACAAGTTTGATTTTTTAGTTTGTTTTTTTTTATAACAAAACTGTTAATATTGTTGGCTTTCTTTAGAAGTCTATGCATTTTATGTTAAACCATTCTGAGAAAGAGTCTACAAGTTTCTCCAAGCTGCCAAGGGGTTCATGGCACAAAAAAAGGGTAAGAGTTCAAACCTAGCATGTCCCTTCTCACTGTATCTACCTGGGGGACAGCTGTTTGCACCTTGGTCTAACATCTAGGCTTCGTCCTCATCCCTTCCACACTCCCTTAGGCCCTCTGTCAGCCTGGCTTCCTCATCAGGCAAAGTTCCTTAAAGGCAGGTCTGCATCATTCATTTTTGTATATTCAGCAACTAGTTCAGAGCCTGACACAAAGAGGGAAATATAATTCTAATGAATAATTTAATGAATTTAAAAGAATATGAGATTTTAGTGTCTTAAAATCTGGCAAACAATTAGTTCCTTTGTGACTTGGGGAAAGACATTTAACACCTCTAAGCCTCTCATGGGGCTCTGGTAGCGTAGTGCCTAAGGCACCTGACTGCTAACCAGAAGGCTAGTGGTTCAAACCCACCACACCTCGGAAGGAAGGCTGGGCAATCTACTTCTGTAGTGATACTGCCTCGGCAACCCAAGGAGGGGTTGCTATGAGTCGAGTCCGACTCGATGGCACATAACAACAACACAACAACAACAAGCCTCTCATGTATGAAATGTAAACACTAACTCCTTTACTTATTGCAATGTTTACAAGAGGATCAAATAAGGTAATTTAGTGCTGCTATAACAGAAATACCACGTGTGGATGGCTTTAACAAAGAGAAATTTAGTCTCTCTGTCAGAGCCTAGGACGTCCATATCCAGGGCACTGGCTCTAAGAGCATCTTTCTCTCCCTCAGCTCGGGGGGAAGGTCCTCGCCTCCTCTCAACATCCGTGGGCCTGGCGTTCCTTGGAGACCTCCATGTGGCTTGGAATCAATCTTCCCCCGGGTCTAGGAGGTCCTCAGCACAGGGAACCTGGATCTAAAGGATGCGCTGCATTCCTGGCTCTTCTTTCTCTGTGGTAGTCAGGTCCCCCCTTCTTTGCTCGCTTCTCTCTCCTTTTAGCTCTTCTTGTAAGACAAAAAGTGATGGAGGCCACACCCCAGGGGACCTCCTCTTGTATCAGATTCAGGCTGTGACCTGAGTAAGAGTGTCCCACCCTAAACCCCTTACAACTGACTGGCTGATCACATCAGATCACACCATGGGGAAGATCACATCATTACATAACTGCTGATTTATATCATTACATAACTACCTAACCGCTGAGGATCATGGCCCAGCCAAGCTGACACCTATTTTTCGGGAACACAATTCAACCCATAACATCGTGTGAAAGTGCTTTGTAAAAATGCAAAGGCTACATAGAATTTAGTCATTATAATACCAAGTTATCCATTGATACTTAGAACAATGGGCTAAGGTCATCATATTATTAGCAATCTCACCTCCAGCCAAATTCCTCTACCCACTCTACCAGATATGCAGAAGCTCGGTGCTTGCCAAAAGTACCCATCCTGTAGACTTTCAGCTTGTTATGCTCTTATTTCCATTATCACTTCCTGTTATTTTGCCCAACTCCCTCCTTTGCCCACCTAGGTAACCACCACTGATTCTTCAATACTTGGTCTAAGCATTAATAACCTCTTCCATGAATCCTTTTCTGGCCTTTCCCTTCCCCACAATTCACACAATGTATGAGAGTTCATTTTCTTTGTTATCTCTGGAGAGCAGGGATCCTGGTTACTTTTCTTGACTTCCTCTCTCTATCCTAGCATCCAAAAGGAATTCAAGTTATGTTTGCTGAGCATAAAATTGAACAACCAAACATAATTAGAGTGTATTGGAAACAAATCAGGAACACTGCATGCATCTAGGTATTTATAAGAAAAGCAGAGCCCTAGCCTTATAAGTATTTAAATACTAAATGACAAATCTGTCACAAGTCCTTTAAATATTCAGTTTCACCTCATTTTAAATGTAAATCAATTCACTCTAGCAAAGCTAGGTTAAGTTCATCTTGCAATGTTTGTTTCAACAAGTATACCATAATGCAGAGCACCGAATCACTGACAATGTCACCATCAGAGGCTGAGGCAACAGACCACAGTACCTCAGAATTCTTCCCATCTGCATCATGCCCACAAAAACATAAGTGAGCTTTTTAGCTGAGATTCCTTACCTCAGAATGAGATAACGGAGAACTGAGGCCAGAAGGACCACAGTTGGTTTCATGCACAATGAATGAGTTGTGAATTAACGCTTGAAGATTAGTAAGAGGCAGTGATTTACCAGGCCCTGCCAGGGAATTTCTGACCCTCTTTCAGAGTTGCTTTAAGGTTTCCTCAAGTCTAAGGAGACAGGAGACACTTTCCAAGAAAGTGTATGTATGTGGAAAAACAACCACCAAGCCATGATATACAGTTACAAAGTCAGGCCAAAATCTGAGTTTGACATTTAGTTGTAAGACTGGCAGAAGGCAACAGTCACCACCTGCTTTCACCATCAGTAAGGGACTTCACCTCCTATTTCACGGACACAACAAAGGACGTTGGGGAAAATGGTCAATTTCCTGCCATCTACTTTGGATTCATTTTCCCAAGTAACCTGATTTGCTTTTGTATTCTCTTGAGCTTCTCAATTCCTAAAATTCAGGAACCAGCTTGCTTAATGATGTCCCATTTAATGTATTAATTATTCCCCTACTAATGTCTTCTGTAATCTTACCTACAGTTAGGAAGGTGCTCAACAGCTGCTCCGTGGCAACAGGCTTGATCTCTGTCCGCAGATTAACAAATCTGCCAACCACCAATGGGGCTCGGCGGAAACCTAGAATCCTAGTTTGGAAGGTTGAAGAACAGAAGAGAAAAATCTGTAGGGATACATTTTAAATATTAATTTTTTTAAAATACGATTAATCATGGCAGGTGTATAAAGGTATCGCAGCCAAGAAGGTAAATCTAAACTAAACCAAACTCACTGCTGTCGAGTTGGATCCAACTCATAGCGACCTCTCCCTGGGTTTCTGAGGCAGCATCACTACGGAAGTAGATTGCCCAGTCTTCCTTCCAAGGAGTAGCTGGTGGGTTTGAACTCCCAGCCTTCTGTTTAGCAGTCAAAATGCCTTAGGCACTATGCCACCAGCACTCCTAATCTTACCGGTAGAGGTCCATATTTAGGAGCTTAATGTCAAGATGTATGTAATTTATTTTCATATACTTCAGCAAAAAGCATAAAGCATATCTGGCCAATATGGAAACTGTTACACTGAGGAAGTTGGTATTGGGTTCATTTTATTATGTTCTCTGTTTTTATTTGCTAGGGTTTTTTCATATTAATAAGTAAAAGCAAATTTTAACAAAGCGTTAAAAAAAAATGGATTTAAACCCATATGCGGGTTCAAAGCTTTGAATAAAACAGGATATTGAAAAAAAAAATTAAGCTGACTGAACTGAAATGATAAACTCAAAGGACAACTTAAATATTGGTACATTTGAAGTCATTTCTCTCTAACGGCCTAAAAGTACTACTTCACAGCTGAACATTTTTTTTTTAAGTGAAGATTTTTATTCAGCATATGCAGCAAAGGAAAATAAAGATGGGAAACAGACAGACATGTTACCAGAACAAATGTCTGCTGAGTCCTTGAATAAAATTACCTTTTAAAAAATAAAGTTTACTGGCCAAAAAATATACACACACTGAAAGAGAGCTGGAATAAATAAAAACAATAATGAAAAAAATACAAATCATCCATAATTCTACAACCCAGGAACAAGTGCTAACATTTTGGCACATGAGCATTTTTTTCCTTTACATGTATATATAAACGCACACTCACACTTTGGTATATACATACAATTGAGATTATACTGTATACAGTTTTGTATCCTACTTTTCTTCATCACTGTATCATGAGCCTTTCCCAATATTATTAGAAAGTCTTTGAAAGTGGCTGTGTGATTAATCCATTGTTCAGCACTGCTAACTCTGTCCTAAACCTAATCTTGGAAAAGCCACAAAAGCAAGGAGATCAGCAGATCTGTCAAAACATAAAAATCAAAGAAATCACTGAGGCAATAGGGTGGTGTTCTGATTACCTAGTGCCGCTCTGACAGGTGGTGTTTTGATTACCACAAATGGGATGCCTTAACAAATGGAAGTTTATTCGCTTACAGTTTGGAGGCTTTAAGTCCAAGTTCAAAGTGCCAGGCTCTAGGGGCTGTGTGAAAGCCCCTTGACCCTGGGCTTCAGCTCTGCCTCTTGCTCCCAGTCCACTGAAGCTAGAGGCATCTCTTCACTCAGGCAGCTACTGGCTGCTGAGGCTAACAAGCCCCAAGTCAACAAATAAATTGGCACAGTCCTAATGTTACCAAATAACACAGCAGGCCATTAATTCAAGTCCCAAGGTCAGCAGAGCATGGCAGGCTGCTGAACAACACAGCTACACACAGGGTCCACATATCCCATAAGCTAGAGACTATCCCCAAGGCTTCTCCTTATATACAGGAAGCAGACCACATTCCAAAGACAGCTACTCAGCTGCCTGTGGTAGATCCCACCATGGAGTTGATTGCCAGTCTCATCATGAGGAATAAATACCATTAGCTGCCCAGCCACTCAACCAGGCCCAGCCAAGTTGACACACAAACTTAACTACCACAGGTGGTTAAATCCTAAAGGAGAAACAGCAATCCAGGACCATATATGGGAAAGAAGGTTGGGAAGTCTTTCTTCTCCGCATTAGCCACTGCCAGGCTACAAAAGAGCAGCCAGCTTAGCTTATCGGAGCAATATCACCCCTCAGGGCTTGAGCTGGGCTGAGGTGGTAGTTAAAACCAGGAATAGGGAGACTGGCCAGAAAACACCTTTCAGACTTTGAGATGGTGAAGGGCATTTAATTGTAAGACTCCAAAAGCACAAATCATAAAATGAATATTATATCTAATTTCCATCAAAAGTAATGATTTCTGTACAAAGAACACCTCACTATAAGTTTAAAAATAAGCTGAAAAGATAAAAAACCAAATCCATTGCTGAAAAGTCAATTTGGACTCAGAGCAACCCTCGACCACAGAGTAGAACTGTCTCACAGGGTTTCCAAGGTTGTAATCTTTATGGAAATAGACTGCTTCGTCTTTCACCTGCAGAGTGGCTGGTGAGTTCAAACCACCGACCTTTTTGGTTTGCAGCCGAGTTCTTAACCACTGCACCACAAGGGCTCCTTGTGAAAAGATAAACAAAAAAAAACCCAAACTCACTGCCCTCGAGTCAGATCCGACTCACAGCGACCCCTCCTTGGGTTTCCGAGGCAGTATCACTATGGAAGTGGATTGCCCAACCTTCCTTCCGAGGAGTGGCTGGTGGGTTTGAACCATCAGCCTTCTGGTTAGCAGTCAATTATGCCTTAGGCACTATGCTACCCAAACTCCTGTGAAAAGATAAGGAGATACTAAACATTGCCAATAACTGGGGAAATACAAAATAAAATAACAATCAGATACCATTTTACATGTATCAGAACAACAAAAATTATTACCTTGCATAATATGAAATATTGGTTTGACTATACGGGGAAATGAGAATCTTCATATCATGCTGGAATCCACCAGCAGGGAAACAGGAAGGGGATGGGAAATGAAAAAAAAAATAGGAAAACAAATGAGATCTTGGGAAAACAGATTCTATTGTGCCATTAAGTGCGGAATAGGATTTACTTAACACTCTGCACCTTGAGGTCTTAAGGTACCAAAAAATTCCTGGTACTATAAACAAGTATTTCTTTAACCATTGCCAAATGTTTAGACGTTTAGCTTACTGCCAGTTTTTCACTACTGAAAATACAACAGCTAAGATCTTTTGCATACAAATTTTTGAATTTCTGATTATTTCTCTAGAGTATGTCCTAGAAATATCTTAGAACTTTCCTAGATATTTGCATTAAAAAGGGAGTTACTGATTCAAAGGGTAAGAACATGAAGGTTTTTGATACATAATGCCAGAGTCCTTCAAAAGAAAGACTGAACCAATTAATGCCACAAGCAGCATATGAATCTCAATAAAGTAGTATTTTTTTTTAATCTCTGCCATTTGCATAGGGTCGCTATGAGTCGAGGCGACTGGACGGCTCCAACAACAACATTTTCAGGAGATGAAAAAAATTATTTCATTATTTCAACTGGATGATTTTTATGACTGGTATGCATGAACTTTCCCTCCTATGTTATTAGGTGCCATCGAGTCAGCTCCAACTCCATGTACAACAGAATGAAACACTGCCTGGTCCTGTGCCAGCCTCACAATCCTTGCTATACCTGAGCCCATCATTGCAGCCACTGTGTCAATCCATCTTGTTGAGGGCCTTCCCCTTTTCGCTGACCCTCCACTTTACCAAGCATGATATATTTCTCCAGGGAATGGTCCTTTCTGACTATCAAAGTAGGTGAGATGAAGTCTGGCCATTCTCACTTCTAAGGAGCACTCCAGCAGCACTTCCTCCACGACAGATTTGTTGGTTCTTCTGGCAGTCCATGGTACTTTCAGTATTTTCCACCAACACCACAGCTCAAAAGCATTAACTCTTCTTGTTGTTATGTGCCTGCCGTCAAGTAGGACCTGACTGATAGCAACTTCTCCTTGGCTTTCCGAGGCAGTATCACTACAGAAGTAGATTGCCCAACCTTCCTTCCAAGGAGTGGCTGGTGAGTTTGAACCACCAGCCTTCTGGTTAG